CTGTAGTTTTTCTTTTTTCCTCTTATTGATTTTAATTGTGTTAACTAAATATTTTTTAAGTTCAGTAGAGATATGTTCTGACTAGAAACTGGGTATAAAATGTCTTATAGTATTTTAAGTTTTTAATTGTACATTAGAATATATTAGCCATATGATATTTTAGATTTGTTAGTTATTTGAGATTTGTTCACTATCTGCCATATTTTGTTTTTCTTAAATTATGTGTACCACATACTCTTTATTTTCTTTTAAATGTGTATTTGAAAAATAAATAAAAACAAACAAAAGGCATTAATGCTACTTTAATATGGAAAATCCCTTATCCCTTAAGTGATTCTTTCATACTTTAATATATGCACCTCCATTATATTTATATTGTAATTAAGCAGCAACGTACTACTAAACATCAGGATTTTATTTTTCTAGGTTAAAATAATGTATAATGAGGATATATCTAGAAATCTGTTTTACTTAATCTGATACCTCTTTTGTATTCTACTAAGTATTAGGGTGTGCAAAACTTGCTCTGCTTGAATCAGCTTTTTCACTTATTTCAAACTTGAATTCAAATCCATATGTTGTGAGAGTTTTGTTTCGAGCTTTGTACAAAACATACTGTACTCAGAACAAGACTTGCCCATTTTGGGTGACATCTTGACATGCTCCATGTTGTTCCTTGCTCTGCAATTTGATGTCGGGTTTTGTGGTTATTGTTTTACAATATTTTTCCCTGTCTGGCCAGTTGTCTATCTGCACTGATTGGCTTAGGCTGGATTGGGAGTTCTGGGGATGGAATGCTGAGGCAGAGCAGAGTTCCTTATCACATGGCTGAAGGCTGAAGAGCCATGGGGGACTCAGCTCTGCCAATGGGGAAGAAGGACTAGATCAGCTGCACTTCCACTGATTGGCCAATCACAGGTGGGACTATTACTGCTACTTTTGCTTGCCTCACCAGTGAGTATCTGCCTGCTTTCCTGCTGCCTCAGGCCCCCATCCCATTACCCTAGTAGTGTACTTTTTCACTTGCTTTAGTTTTAGTTTTAAAGCAGTTTTTTGTGCTGGGTAGAAGAGAGATATCATCCTTTTCTGTTTTTTAATTCATCTTGCCCTTAAGAAATTTCTCTGTTACTCAACTACCCCTGAAATCCTGCTTGTTATGGGTGTGTGTGTGTTAATTTTTATAGTTAGATAGTGGCTACATAAATCCTCCCCCTACAATGAAATCCTAACTTTAAAAAACTATGACTTAGGAATTATAATCAGGTAGAAGGCCAGTTGGTCAACAGAAGGAGGGGGGGACAGTTGCTCATACTTCTTGCAGCCGAAATAGTTGCGTCATTATCATAGTGGGTACCACTACCCTCCCTTGGAAGCCCATAAGCTGAGGTTGAGGGACAAGAGGATGAGGAGTTGCCCTATCCTGTGAACCAAGATCACAAATAGTTGTAGCGGTGATCCAGAGGAATCGGTAGATTATCATCAGCAAAGTAGGGAATGAGTCATCAAGATGGGGTGGTTTGGCAACACTTTAAGCTTGTAGTTAACAACCATGCTGTGCTTCTGAATTGTTGCAAGGGGTGAGGGTCACCAAAGTGTTTCAACATCGGGAATACTTAAGCACCTTTTTAGGCATCTTCCTAATGTTATAGAATCATAGAGTTGGAACAGGCCTAAGATATGATCAAATCCAACCCGCTGCCTACTGTAGGATTTATTACACCATCCCCAATACAAGACTATCCAGCTACCAGTGGCAGCAATAGGAAACCTACACCAGGTGAAGCAATCATATGTGAGCAAACAACAGGATGGTCCAGAGACATCAGATGTGAAATAATGTATTCTGCAGATGTGGATGATGAACCCTTCCACACTCAAATGCATGTCTCTTTGCTCTCCAGGAGTGGAGACTTATGATTGAAGCAGTCTCTGCGCTTCATGAGCCAGGTTTTGCTCTTGGTTCTTTTTTAAGAAAAAATTTAGGTAATTCCAGGAAAGTGACCCAAAAGTGAAGGAACATTTATCAGGAATGGTTATCTGTCCTGGTGGAGAAAGCTCCTTGTTGCAGACGGGGCTCAGAAGGAATAAGGGAGAATAGGTTGTATCCAAGAGGAGAAACATACCATCCAGCAAGCATTCCCTCCTAATAGTAGTAGTAGCAGACAGGACTTTGTTTCCAGCCTGGGATTCTTCTTGGCATGTACAAGCATACCAGCCTCATCTTGGGATAGCATCCTTGCTGCATTGCCAGGAGAACAGAAGCAGAACTGAGTTACAGGAAGGCAAGAAAAACTGCCTGATTTGGACTGCCAGACCTGGTAAAGGTTGATCAATAGCACACTCCTGCATCCTGAGTGAGAAGGTGTTATTCAAGGCAGGTAATGGGCATGACAGCCCATTGCTCCCACATGGACACTGACTGGGAAGTACAACCCATCTTTCTTAAGGCATCCCTCCTTTTCTTGATGTCACTGGAGAGGACTTGAGGGATATCTCCTTACTTTACCCTCCAAATCACAGGCAGCCATCTGTCCACTGATGGCCTTGGCCCCTGATGAGGGAGTGCTGTCCTTTAGATATCAGTTCATCTGCTCTCAGAAGCAGTTGCTAATTTCCTATTGGGGTGAGTCCTTGCCTCATTTCACCTGAGTGATATACACTATGTAGAGATTCAGTCAGGGATCCCCTGAGAAATGTGCACTGGGGCCTATCTATACATTGCCCCACCTAACTTAAAATGGTATTCTGCCAGCTTTCTCTCAAAGTTCTCCCATCCACTCTCACCCCCTCCTTCATGCACAGCCCATAAGGATGTTGCTAGGTCCCAGTCAGTCAAGGTGCAGTGACTCTGAGGAGGCCCCATACCATTCAAAGCACATGCACATGGAGGCAGTTCTCTGGACAGCAGCAGAACAGACTCCAGACCAGAGAGGAGAAGAAGAGGATCACTTGCAACTTTATGTCATTGTCTGTCAAGCGGGTAAGTAAATTGCCATTTTTTAAAGATTCTTCACTGTAGGGAAATTAGAGCTCATGTGGATGGAATGCCAATGTCCCTGCAAAAAGAAGCAGTTCAGTGGAGATAGAATAAGGCAGGTAAATCCGATAGTGTACGTATGCGCATGCACCACTGTGTTCCACACATAAGTGTTGCTAATGTTACAGTTGTGTAAGTTTTACATAGAAAGACTACTAACATTGTAGCATACTGGAATGGGTCTGTAGTTTTTCTGTATATGTGTTATTTTATGCATGCTCTTCTGTCCTCTAGATGTTGAATTTCAGGATGCCTTTTAAAAAGAAATGATTTTTTTTCCGGTGATAAAGGCACCTTGGAGCTTAAAATCAACAAGATGCATAGAGTGCACATGCACTACACATGCACACCAAAGCTCAGCAAACCAACATACAGTCTTTTCAAAATACTTTCCCTGTTCGTTCGTTTGGTTAAGCTCTGACTTTTACCTTGTTGATACTTAGCTTCAGGATGCATTTAAAAATGCAACGTTGGTTATAGTTTGCTAGTTCGAATGTGGTGTGTGTGTGCATGCATGCACTCTGAAAACTCTTGTATGTGTTAATGTGGAGCTTTCAAAATGCATTAAAAAAAATAAGTATTTTCTGTTAGGTTGATTCACTGGGCTTTGTTATATATACTCTACATTACTCATCTACACTACTCCTGTTTCTGATTTTGTCTGGTAACTGAAAAGTAGTACTTTTATTTTTTTATTTTTTTTTCTGTTATACCATTCTTAGTAATACTTATTTATGTGCAATTTTTGCTGGCAGTTTTTTCAGAACCTGGAAGTGGCAATAATAGAGCAGCAGGGGTGGAGGGGGGGCTTTAATTTTTGTGTGTGGATTTTTTGCTGTGAAAAAAGGACGGAGGGGATGCTTTTGTGCTTTATAGTGCACCCTGTCTCCCCAGAAGCCCACCTCAGGCAACAGTCAGGCACTGATTGCAGCAGCCTTCTGGACTGGAGCAGCCCCAGTAGCACAGAATGTGGCTGCTGACAAGAAGCCACACCAAAGTATTTTCTCATTCTTCCTATTTGCAGTGGAAAACTTAGAGTAGGGGAATGTTTTCACACTTCATTGTGCAGGAAGCTGTCAATAAGCATACTAGTATGGGCATGAAGGGCATCCCTTGCTTGTATTTTTTCCTCTAGATGGAAAAAACATGGTACATTCAAAGTTTGTTCCATCATCAGAACATGGAACACTTGGGTGGGGCTGTTTTGTTCTGACCTCGAAACAAAATGTGTTTCCTATTTCATGCATACCCCTACCATCTACATTTTGTCACAATCAGTTCCAAGGTTAAAATTGAATACTCCAGTATATATTCTTTTTGTGTAAATTCCTCATCCTTAATAATATTTTGCTTTTTATTTTGAATAGGTAAACATATAAGTCTTGTGGTCTATATCTCAAACAAGCTTGTTTTGTTTTTTCATTTGCTCTTTCTTAAGAGATTGCATGTATAAAATCTGATTCGTGCTTCTATGAATCTAAAAAAATCAAGATGGTAGAAGTAATGTAAGTAGCTGTTTCAAGACAAGATTGAGTTAAGCCAGCAGTTTTAAAATCTTACCTGATAAGTTCTGCTGAAGAGACTGAAAAACATTATTTCTTTAAGGATGCTTTGGAAATTATTAATTCCACTTCAGTGTCAACAATATTCCCTTTTTTGTGGGAAGGCATGATGTATCAGGGATTGAAAGCTTTTTATATTGAAGATAAAATCAGTATTTTACATGACCTACAAGAACAATTCCAAAAGATGACATTCACATATAGGGTACAATATCAGGATGACATTGACTAGCTGAACTTAATCTGGTTGATTGATGAACAGCATATCATTAATTGTTTAGCTTCTGATGGATCAAATTAGCAACACTTTCTAAACCTCCTTTCTATAGCGTAAATGGATACACCTTCTCTTCTCTTTTGTTCCATTAACTTTCAGTTTGTTGGTTCCTCTTTTTCTGCAGAGGGAGAACCGCAGGCTTCAGGAAGCCAGCATGCGACTTGAGCAAGAGAATGATGACCTTGCTCATGAACTTGTAACAAGCAAAATTGCTCTACGAAATGACTTGGACCAGGTAGGAAGTCTTCCTCTATAACTAGGTTTCTGTGGAAATCAGAGTTCAATAGTAAAAAATAAAACCCAATAGAAAACATAATTATCCCCTGATATTTAGCATTGGTTATGTGTGGAGATGTGTGTTAGAAGTTTAAACAAAATACTTAATGGGCTCAGCTTGACAGTTACTACTGTTGCAATCCTGGAAAGCTGTTGGTTCAAATGACAGTAGGAATTCAGTTCCTTTTCTAGTATTGAAGGCAGTTAGACATATATACAGTAGATCTTATTTGTCAGAAAACTCAAATCTGATATTTCCTCTTACGAGGAATTAGAACTTTGGAGCCATTATTTTTTTAAAATGGCTGATAATATATATATATTTTGAAACATGGGATCATTACTCTTAATCAGCTATTAGGTAATGAAACCTTTACAGCTTTTACAAAAGGAATACAGTTTACCTACTGTAACTGAATGGCAACACAGTTCAAACACTTGTTATGTACATTGTTTGGTCATAATGCCCTCATGGTCTTTGAAATTCCAGAGGCATTGAGTATATTATAGAAGGCCTTTATTGAAACTAAAAATAAATATTACAAAAATACATTTGGACAAGACATGGAAGACATTTGGAATAGAGTACTGTGGTATCATATATTGCCCAATCAATGGCTTATGGTTTTAAAGAATGTTAGCTGTTTCTTATGACCTAAAAACTCAGATCAGCAAAAGAAAAAAATGTTTGGAGTTACTACTCAAAGAATGTTTAAGAAAGGTTGGTTCTCATTGTTTCTATGCTAGACATAAAATAAATTTGAAAGAACTTTGGTATATATGTGTGGATCCACTTTTAATTCCTTATTGGTTAGAAATTATCACTAGGCTGAACCAGGGTCTTGGAAGCCAGTTAAAAGTTAAATATGTTCTGTTTAACCATATTCCAAAAACTCTGGAGTCTCTCAGTCAATGGAGAATTTGGATTTATCAACCTGGGAAAAATATGATTAGGGAATAATGGTTATGTTCCAGAATCCAAAAATTGGCTTAACAAAACTTGTCGACTCTCTGCCTCTGAAATAGCTTTGTACTAAAGGAGAAGAATACTGGAAAATATGATTTTGTATGGTCTAGATGTAACTTGTTTAAAAATGGAATTGTAATGATTACATTAAAGAACATCATATAATTTCAATAGCCTGAATTCTTATTTAAATTAGTTCTGTATTTAGAATTAAATATAATATTGCTGTTTCTTTTTGAGTATTGAGTATTTTCTTTTATTTCTTAGGGGCCTTTTGTCTTTCTTATCTAGGGGATTTAGTATAGGATTTTTTTTTTCCTTTCACTACATGGATTTTTAAAATATAATGGTTTCTTCTTTAAAGTGTATAATAATTTTCCATTACAGTAATAATAACAGCCAATATTATTACATATAATATTAATATTGATAATAAATATTTTTACAGAATTGTTACTTCTTTAGCTTAATAGAATTATTTTAAAAAGGATAGTTAGTGTTCTGTTTGGATGCTACAAGCATAAATATGTTAACTACTGATAAAATAATCAAAAGAATTGGACTGAAAATGTTGGCTTTGGATCTTTCAAGATAGGATAAGAATCTAGTTCTTCATCATATATGTGTCACACAGAATCATTTACTACCCCAGAACTCCAGAATATGGGGGAGGGGGAGACACCAGTTGCACCTATGCCCATATATTATCTAGACGCCCATGCCTGCACTGTCCATGCTTATTCAGGGGATCTCACTCATTGCTCTGTTCATGTCACTCTGAAATTCTCAGGCTGAAGACAAAGCAGATGTTTTGAATAAGGAACTACTCCTGACCAAACAAAAACTAGTAGAAACTGAAGAGGAGAAGCGAAAGCAGGAAGAAGAAACAGCCCAGGTAAAATAAGCTCCACTGATCCATGGGGTCATGCCAAAACAGAAAGTACCTCTCTCTTAATCTAGAGTGATTTTGATTCTCTTAAATGTTTAGTGTATATTAATCTTGTTGTTCCAGTTATATGGGACACCCTTTCCTTGAGGTATCTGCTCTTTGAATATCACTAATAGAAATAGTTCCTAAACTTGTTGGACAGATTTGAAAGTCATATTAGGACACCATTTAGCATGTCTAGCAGGAGGATTAAGATGCTCAAGCTAATGTGTTCCTTTTGTTAGCTAAACTTGGATTCTTGCATCTCCTGAATCAGAATTCAGAGTTAACACTATTTATTTATATATGTCAGCATCAGAAATCATGTTTCAAAGTTTTTTTTAATTTGAAATTAACCACAGCTAATTAATAACCAAGTTGTCACTCTAGATATTCAACAAACTGGAGTTAATTTAAATGCAGGATTAAAAGTTTGTATGAGATCCTCGTGAAGTCTACAACTTCTTCCAACTCAGGAATTTCACAATAAGGCACAGTTTTATGTCATAGCTGGCCTCTAATTAAAAGATATCAATATTTTGTTATCCTAGGAATTAAACTACTAACTTAATCTCCTAAAATAGTTACAGTTCAGCATTTCAGTTTTAGTTATTTATGTCCACATTTCTACCCTGCTGCAATCCGAAGACTCTCAGCAGCTTACCAAGGATATGAAATGGTAATACAAAACAGAACTTTTTTAGATAAAAAGTGTGTTTCAAAAAGGGTTCAGTTATTTTATAGTTATCTAGATTATTTAGTTATTTGACTAAGATTAGTGCTAATTGATTTTTTCTCCTGCATGCAGCTGAAGGAGATCTTCAGAAAGCAGTTGGAGAAGGCAGAATCTGAAATAAAGAAGACAAGTGCAATTATTGCAGAATACAAACAAGTAATGTGTTGATTTTGGGGGCGGAGGCGTGTTTTAAGTTTTCAGTTCCCTTTTCAGTATGTGTAACTTGGAGAGCAGAGATTCTGTAGGTACATTAATTCCTAGCTAAAATTTTGAAACAGCATGGCCCACGTGCTTTAACAACTTCAGAGGTTCTTGGAATCTTAGGATCCTTAAGAGATGCAGCACCTGACAGGAAACCAAAAATTCAATTTTATTTAGGATTTAAAAAATAGAATGAAGGTTAGCATTAGTTACAAATATAAACAAACCTAAATATCCATTTCTTTATTAATTGTTAATTTTATTTTTTTGCATAGTCATTAATTGTTTTTAATATTGCATTGTTTCACTGTTTATCTTTTATATTGTATTGCATTGCACTGCACTACACTAAATTACATTACATTATTTTTTGTAAACTTGCTATAAAATATAATAAAATGCAGGGAAAAGCAGGGAGAAGAAAAATAAAGTAAAATAAAATATCCAATCTTGGAAGATCAATGGGGCCAGGGTTTAAGAAAGGTAAAACATTCTTCTTAGGATTTAAGAATGAAGTTCATTTACCAGAAAATATTATTTTGGGTCTGTTGGACTCCTCAAAGAACATTTTAAAAAGTTTGAACATCAGATTTTTTTTTTTTTTGCTGGCATTGTAAGAAATTTGAGGAGGGTTTAGCACATATGATTTGGTCTTGTGCAGCCATAGCTTTGTTTTGGTTTCAAACCATAGTATTACTGATTGATTGATTGATTGATTGATTGATTGATTGATCCACTCATTCATTCATTCCCAGGACAAATCTGAACCTACTGGAAGTTAAAATTTAATTCTTAGCCACCAGACAGCAAAGTCTAGTTCACAAACATGCTTTCTCCATGTTCAAAACTTGCAATTAGGCATATTATAAATTGCTTATCATAACTTTCATATCAATAGTTGTAGTGTCTTATTCTTAATACTCTTGGAAATACCATTCAATTGGGTGGAAATGACACTTGTCTGAGTTGACACTCACTATAAGGAATTGAAATATTGATGCATTTTTAAACATGTTGCTATCTTGTTAAAGGATGTTTAATTTTTAAAATTTCATTGAAAAGGATGTGCCATTTAAAGTATTCTATCTTCTTCTAGATTTGTTCCCAGTTGAGTAGCAGACTAGAAAAACAACAAGTAGCCAGTAAAGAAGAACTTGAAGTTGTAAAGGTGAGAATTGAATTCTCTCAACTTATAACATGTCTCACTCAAATAGTTAAAGAGTGATAGGCAGGAGAAACAGATAGTTTTGCAGAACAGTCTGAAACCACACTGATAACATGATCTACTGTCCAGTAAAGATTTAGGAGTTCTAAATTTCCTCAGGCACTGGTCTAAGAGGTTCTCTTGTATAGTGGAGCTTACTGTAAGGGAGATACATTCATATTAGATCTCCACTTTGGTGCAACCTTTTAATCAAAGGGAATGTTGAGATCTCCAGTCTGGTGCAGCCTTTTCATCAAAATCAGTATGTAAAAGTAATTTAAAAATCTACCCAAAAAACCAAGGCCAAATTGTTACATAACCATCACAGATACATAGAAGAATCTCATGGGGTTCCAGAAACAACCTTCTAAGTACTGTTGAAACTGATTACAAAGAAAAGAAATAGCACACAGAATTCAAGGATCCAGAAAAGAGACATGGGAGCTGTCAGCGGAATACTAGCAATCAGAATAAACAGGAATTTAAAAATGAATGGGAATAACTGGTTCAAATATTAGAATCTAATAATATTCCCAGTCATAATGTTCTCCAAAATATTACTGAACATATCAATAATACGTGTGCTTATTGCACAAATAAATTTCTGAATCATAAAGTGGATAAAAACCAACGGATATCCATCAAATTGGCAAACAGTACAATAAAAGTTAGATTCTTTGTTAGCAACTGCTAACAAAAATTGAACCAAGAAGTATCACAAAGAAAACATATAATTAGGAGAAATGGAACTCTCATATCCCTATGTCTCTAAATAATGAAGGGAATTTAAGACAATACATGCCATTTGTACTTGTGGGAGAACCTTGCACTATTCAGTCTTATTGTTGAAAATAGTGAAAAAATTATCACAAAAGAGAAATGGGGATGAGAAAGTAAAAGTAGATTTGGAAATAAAATGGAATTGACAACAATTGTAGCAAACAGATAAATGAATGAATGAATAAATAAATAAATAAATAAATAAGTAATCTCTGATACCACAACTAGTGCTTTGCAAGAAGAAACATAGATTGAATAAAAAGGAAAGAAACATCAATTATACTTACATCACAGCAAATGTAGTAAAAAGAAAAGGAAAAATAAAGGAACAGACAGCATATTAACTAAGTGGGAGTTCTGGAACTGAAAGTTATACATAAAGAAAGATGTTCACCCCCCCTGCCCTGATTCCACATTTTGCAAAAACAAATGAACAATTTCCCCCATGCACAAATAAGGCAAAGAGAGAAGTTCACCAATTAGAAAGGACTAGGTAGAATATATAAAATTCAAATTAAAAAAGGATCACAATACTTAATTGGACTTAGCTGGTATCTGAATATTTACAAAGCATTACATTCAATATATTCATTCTGTGTCTGATGAACATATGGCTATATATGTCTAGTGTATGGGTGTGTATAGATCTTTCACAAACACGTGAACAGTCATTCACAAGATGGGAACAGATCTCCATCCCAAGTTCCAGTGAGGGTCCTAACTTCCTCTTCCATTTTGCATCTGCAATCCAAATAGCCCAGAGGCTAGCAGGCCAGCAGGGGCAGCCCTTGAAAAATATCACACAATCCCAAGATCAGTGCCGAAGTGTTAGCGGTGGAGCAGGAGCCCGGCCCCACTAACTCAGCCATGAACATATTCTCCTATCTTCTGTTCTTGCTCAGCTCTGCTACAGCCTATCTGCTCTCTCTCATACCTGACTTTTTCCATTTGCTGAGGCATAGTATATAGAATGTTTCATTGTTCAGTCACTTTCCCACTAACACAAGTCACATTAGAAAATATGAAGTGACAATATTGCTGCAGTTTCAATAAATACAGGCGGTCCTTGCTTAACAACCATTCGTTTAGTGACCGTTCGAAGTTACAATGGTGCTAAAAAAGTGACTTATGATCAGTGCCTGAAGTTACAAACATCCCAGCACCCTGCAGGCATGTGATCGCAACCCGGGTGCTTGGCAACCAGCTCACACTTAACGGTTGCAGTGTCCTGGGGTCACATGATCACCATTTGTGACCTTCCCAGCCAGGTTCCGGTAAGCAAAATCAATGGGGAACCGCATGGTTCGCTTAACAACCACTGCAAAAAAGGTTGTAAAATTGGGTCCTATTCATTTAATGACTGCCCCACAACAATGAGTTTTCCAGTCCCTATTGTGGTTGTTATGTGAGGACTACCTGTATGCTGTGCTCCTGTCATGGGGTAGCATGAACAAAATCTACTGGATTACTTAATCTGTCCATATACCACATGGCAATAATTTGAAAAATATAGGTTGTAATTGGATGTCCTTTCCAGATATTTATTTATTAGAGATCCTGCTTTGGGGAGATTGATGGTATCCATATCTGCTCCTCCTGATCAAATTGATTGGTGCCCTGTGCTCCCTGCATTTGGAGAGAAGTGAAGAAAACAAAGGGAACATACTCTACTGCTTTGTTATGCATATGCAATTTGGAATCAGTTCCTGGCATTTATTAAGCACATAACAACTATGCTCCTGATGCTAAATAAATCCAGCAGTTGCGTTCTTCCAGTTATAGGCAGGCCTGGTTTGCTGATACTTCTCCTTATTCTTGTCTTGCCTCTTGACACAGTGAGAACCACAACTCTCTGCTTTCACATTCCAACTACAGAAACACGTTATATATTCTTCCTTTTAAAAGTGTGGATTTGGGAACATTCTCAAAATAAAAATCCCAGAAAACCTTATCATGATGGAAAAAGAAAAAACGCAATTTGCTAGGTCACCAACCCTCCTCCCATTCTTTATATATATTATAATTTTACAATAATCCAAGCAAGAAGCATTATGCAGCTTGAGAAGTATGGTATTAGAAAATAGTTTTGGAAAATACTAGTGAGAAAGTCATAAATTTTAAATGCTGTTACTTATGAAGTTTCTGAAATGGGAATTTCTAATCTGGGTAATATAGTAAGATATGTTTTGTACCCAGTGATATTCATAGTCTGTAATAGATTTACTGCTATATTGTCATATTAGGTGGCATCCTTGGCTGAGAAGAACATGGGCCATCTGATTTCATTTGCTCAATGACTTGCCACCAGGATATCAGTCTGATATTGTGAATAAGGCTGGACTTTTCTGTTTTTCTTTTGGTATCATGGTTATTAAACTGGTCCTGTGATTGGCTATTTCAGGGTAAGGTGATGACTTGCAAACATTGTAGTGAAATTTTCAGTAAAGAAGGAACACTAAAAGTGCCTGCTGCTAAAGAAAGCTCAGGAGAAGACACAGATGATGAGAAAGATGCCCTTAAGAAACAGCTGCGAGAGATGGAACTGGACTTGGCACAGACTAAACTACAACTTGTGGAAGCCAAATGCAAAATACAGGTAATGTGATTTTAGAAATGTTTTGTTGCATTGTTAAATGTAAAGATTGTCTTTGTATCCCTCAATGTGGCAAAGAATGGAGTATGCTTTTTCTCCTGCATGGTGGCATTTGAAAGATTAATGGCTGTGCTTATCAAAGCCTTCATAAAGCTTTCAAAAAGGCATTATTTGTTGGCTTCATGTGATAAGGCAGCCAACACATGTACTAGAATATGGATATGACTTTGGGGTGGCTTAGCTTTCGTAACAAGCACCACCTTTGGTGCACGAAGATGCAAATGCTGCTTTTCATGCCCCTACTTTTAACTTTTTAATGATTTGATTACATGTGTTGTTTTTATAGTTTGTTTATGTTCTTTCAGAGCTTGTTATTCATGATCAAAAGCTTTCTAAGAATGACTTAGATGAGATGAGATGAGATGAGATTGTCAGCAACCAAAATATGTCACTATCTCAAATCACTCATAATACATTTTGACCAAATTTGATAAATATATTTTTGTGGTCTTTATAAGGAAGACTTTGAACACCTGTACCGTGCTGCATAATTATTGTAAGTTATTTATTACATGAAGTGGATGTCTAAGTACTAAGCCTCACTATTGGAGAGAACAGAAAAAGCTATGGAAAACAGCATAGGGTAAGGTGAAAAATCATCTGGATCTTGACTCCCCCATAACACTCCATGTCTAAGGCAAAACCAGTATGCAATAACATCTTATTTGGAAGTATCCCTTGTGTCAAGATAATTAATTATATTAATTATTATGGTTTGCAGAGTCTATCCAGTCAGGTTTAGGAGTCTCCTCTAGAAACAGCCTGATCTTGCAAGGGCTGTTCCAATGATAGTTTGGTATCAAATGATGCCACAGCAAGATTGAGAAAAATGGAGGTCCGCTCTCTCATAGATTAGCATGGGAAAAATACAAGCATCTTTAATTTTTTTTGTTTTCTTTTTTAGCAGAAAGGGATAAATCTGTAGGTAAACTGGAACTTTCCAGATTTGACATGTACTAAATTTCATAAAAATTGATGCACCATTAAAAAATGTTTTAAAATGTCTGTAATTCTGTTGTTTTGGATTGAATCTGATGGATTACTTTAGCAATGCTAGTAGTACCCTCTATGAGAAGTATTCACGCCAAATTTGAGAGAAGTTGAGGATATCTTATGCAGTGGAAAGTATAGTTATAGAATAAATATACTTCTTTCAGTATGTAGACAGAAACTGTTAACAAAGAACTACTGCATTACAGTAAAACTGTAAGGCAGAAGTGACACCAGCATTAGAGGCAAGGGTGGCTGATTTCTTGCACTCACTCAAATTTGGTGGAAAATTTGAGGAGGGGACAGTTGATTTCCAGGAGCACTGACTACTTTAACAAGTTTGGGCTATCAGCTGGCTCACTAGGAGAACTAGTTTTGTCAGGTTCTGTAACAGCAGACAAGTGTCTTGATATTGCAGTAGAAATGGCCTCTAATCTTCCCCCCATGTCTGTTTGGGTCTATATAGTGATGTGTTGTTGCCTTGACCTAGGTAGCATATATCACTTATTTGGTCATTTAGTAATTCAAGGTGACATATGAGAATTTCTTTTCCTTTTATCTTGACAACAACAGTCTTGTGAGATAAGTTGAGGTGAGAGATAGTGACTGGCTGAAATTCACTCTGAATTTGCAACCCTCATCATCCCTAGCCAGTACAGCCAACAGAGGGGGATGATGAGAGGTGCAACCCCACTGCATTAGGAGGGGCACATATTATGTACACCATTTTTACTTACATGGGTTTATTTGTTCTTCATGCCAGCTCAAATTACTCTGAAGTTATTTCTGCTGTATTAAACCATTCTTTGATAAGCACTTAATTCTTCTCTTTCCTTAGGAGCTGGAACACCAGAGAGGAGCACTTATGAGTGAAATTCAAACTGCCAAAAACTCTTGGTTCAGCAAAACTTTGAACTCTATCAAAACAGCAACAGGCACACAGCCTCTACAGCAGCCTCAACTCTCATCGTCACCCAAAGAAGGCAGCACATAGTTCCAGCTGCACCCCATGCAAAAGAGCACAATGGACTAATCAGCTGAAGCCCCTTGAAGGTTCTTCCAGAGAACTTGTTCAAAGGGGGAGGCAGGGGAACCAGCCTGGAAACGAATTCCTTCCGTGTCTTTCATTTGTTCTAATGTGGCCCTTTCACAGGGAAGTTCTATTAAGATTCTGTTTCATGTGGAATACTCTTTCCCAGCTGCCTTGATGGAAGCCCCATCTCAATTCCTTCATATTTCACATGTCATTTTGTATGCCTAGATGTTAAAACATGGATAATAATTTAGAACTACTTGTTCCATACATTACTAAAATTATTCATATTTTTTAATCTTTCAAAAGAATGCTTTCTTATTGGGAGAAGAGGGAAAGAGAGCAAGGTAGAGTAATTTGTCACACAGAATGTCACACGGTTTGCTGGTATCTCAGAACAGCTCAGAGGTTTACAGTTGTCACTGCTCCTGGAAAAAAAATACAGCTGTTTTAAGGTTTGAATCTCAGGCCACATTAACAATATAAGTGGACAACAGAAATTCTAAAAAAAGAGAAAAGTTACTAAATAGGAACATGCAGTAAAACCATGTTTCTTTTCATACATTGCCTTTAAGATTTCCATAACTTACTTATATATTGCCACTCAGAAAAATCTTCTCTCCCTACTCCAATACTCTTTCCTTTTGTCAGTCTGCAGACTATGGGCATAATCTAGCAAAAGTATTTATGAGCAGTGACCTTTGAAATGAACAAAATAAAGTAGGTGAATTTTAATGGGGGATGGTGCTCTTGCACTATTTCCATATTAATAGGATTTGTACAGGAGACAGAAGGTATTCCTGATAAAACATGTCCAAAATGCATAAAGAGAAGCTCATTTACGATTGGTAGGGCAAATTTTTCAAATGATTCCTGTGTCTCTCTGGAAATCATACTTGTTTTGTATCTTTCTAAAGTGCAAAAAAGCATTTGTTACATTTTTGAATTGAACATAAAATGTTTATAGAACTGCTTATTTCATGGAGAATTAAACTATTGCTTAAATTGATGGATTTTTTTAAATTATATGTAATGTGCATAATAATATCTTGCAGGTCAACATCATCACTGAATGAAAATTAGTTGTGTATTTGGTTTTCATGCTATGAAAAATGTTCCAAGGCCATTATTCTATTCATTTTAATCCAAATTAATGCAATAGACTTTTAGTCAGTTCTGTACAATAAAGTTTAATTATGCTGGTTCTGTGCTTCTTTACTAGACATAATTTGCAAGTATGAATGCCAAACACTACCATACAGTTTGACTTCCCCATGATAACTGAGGTTTGGTAATCAAGGAGCTGCTAATGTCAGTGATCTGAGGTGCTCACTGTGAAGCTAGAATTTGGCTGGGCACATTTGTGGCTGTCTAATACAGGAATGGCTGCCACAGAAAACATTCATGGCAACACATACAAGGTGATCTGTTTTGACTTCTACATGGCCTTTTTTTTTTTTTTTTTTTTACAATCCAACCCTGTAAGGTTTTAGAAATAAGTCTGAACTTACTAAAAATATTGGTTGCGGCGATCTGAAAAGATAATGTCTCTGGGTCCTAAGGAATGTTGGAGCCCTTTTCATGAGACCCAATTCAAATGTTTGAGTTGCAGTGCTGTATAAGTGATACTGGGCGGTTGGCAACATATTAATAAGGTTTGACTCAGAGGAGTCTTAAGATCTTCCAACCTTTCATGGTGAAAGATTATTCATATAATTCAACTCATATAGATATTAATGTACTATTGAGTATAAATTCTCAAAAGGCATGACATACATTAAAATATTAATGCCCCAAATGTTTCCATCAGACAGTAAAGTCCAGCAGTTAAATACAGTGCTTCCTATAAAATAAGAAATATGTATATAAATAATTAGAAAGCATTGTTTCCCCAGCTTCCAATCTAACAAGATCCATTGTTACTTTTGGCAACCCTTTATGGATTAGCTGCTGACACCATAACTGAAAAGATGATGCTTTATGGATTTGTCTATAGATAAGAGATGGAATATGGGATGAAGAGATAATTGTTTGTAACCTTAGAGGGGGTGAAGAGTCCCTGAATTTGTTTATACTTGTGATGAAGGTTGGAAGTCACATACAATATATTTCTTTTCTCCGTATTATTATTCTTTTTTTCTCACATTTTTTATCCTTTGTATTCTATTTAAGTTTAGTTTGTATTAGATTTTACTGTTATAATCAAAATTCTTAATAAAA